GCCCGAAAAACGGTCAAAATTTCGACCGTTGGTGCCCGACCTGAAAATAAGCATGAAAACCCAAATTTTGCCGGAATGCTCGACATGCCCGAACTGTCCGAAATCCCGTCCAATGGCTAATTTTTTTACCGTTGTCGCCCGAACCCAACCCGCCGAAACCCTAAATAGCCATTGCACCCTTATTTTTTGAAAAAAAAAATCTATTTTTTAACCCAAAAATTTCCCTATAAATACCCCTCAACCCCCACACATTTTTCTCACTCAATCCCTCTCAATCCCTCTCAATTTCTCTCAATCTCACTCAATTTCTCTCAATCTCTCGCAATCTCTCAAATCTTTATCACAATTTTTCTAAAAACTATCACATTATCATAAAGCTCTCTCTCTTAAATTGCTCTTATTTTTTATAATGGATCCTTTTGGTTATAGTGGTATTCCCGTTGATGCCCAACACAACGTGGAAGAATGGCAATTTCTCACTAATGAATTTATTACGTAGGAATCTACTAATCCGAGTCCTGGTGGACGTACTGGAGGTCGTGGTCAAAATGGTGGTGGGCATGGAGAAGCGGCAAGTGCCAGTGCGACTACGTCTGTAAGTGTTGCAATCTCTAAGAGGAAATGCAAGCGCACCTCGACAGTTTAGGATCACTTCGATATAATTGAGGAGATTGACAATGAAGGTAACACTAAACATATAGCTTAGTGTAAATATTGTTTATCTAAATTACAATGTGATACTATTCATGGCACCACACACTTGAGAAGACACTCCGAAAAGTGTCTTCAAAAGCTTAGCCAATCCAGCGGATCCGAACTCTGCCAAATACAATTATCTTTTGATCGCACAACCGGTGGTCTAACCACTTGGAAATACGATCTGCAAGTAGATCATATGGAAGTTGCACGAATGATAGCTGCTTTAGATCAACCACTTAGTTTTGTAGAGCATCCTAATTGACAATGGTATATTAAGGTTGTACATAATTCTAATGCATAGTTCACTTCAAAAACTACTCATAGAAAAGATTTATTAAAATTATTTAAAAAAGAAAAAAAAAGCATTAATAAACCTTCTACACTCGACTAGCGGGTGCGTTGCATTAACGGCAGATATTTGGTATGCCATTGCCAATAAAGATTATTTAGTTGTAACTGGACATTACTTTAAAGGATTTGACTTAGATAAGAGAATATTATGTTTTAAATGTATTCTAGGATCACATAGCGCAGATTTAATATATAATACCATTTTAAATGTAATTGATGAATTTAGATTAAGAGATAAAGTAATGGCTATAACATTGGATAATGCTAGTGCCAATACAAAAGTAATTGAGTTCTTTGAAAATGATTTAAGTTTATTCGGTGACGGTACATTTTTCCACTAACGTTGTGCATGTCACGTAATTAATTTAATTGTTAAATCTGGTTTAAAAGAAATGGGTAATCACATTAAAAGAATTAGAGATAGTCTTGTATGGATTCAAAGTAGTAACCAAAGACAAGAAGATTGGTTTAGGTTCTTACAAGCATTAAATATACCTCTTAAAGCATTAGCTGTAGATATGCCTATAAGATGAAACTCAACTTACATAATGCTTCAACAATGCATCCCCTATAAGGATGCTATAACAAACTATATGTGTGCAAAAGTAGGAGTAAATCATATAGACGCATATGATTGGCAAATTACCGAAGTTTTGTATCAATTTTTATGTAGGTTTCATGAAGTGACTCTAAAACTTAGTGGAACACATTAGCCAACATCACCTTTAGCTTTAGGATAACTTTTACGAATTAGTATTTTATTTAGCAAATATAGGGAGGACCCAATCTTAGCAGTTTCTATCCATTCTATGGAAAAGAATTTTATAAAATATTGGTCTAAGTTACCTTTGTTGTATGGTTTAGATATTATTTTTTATCCTAGATTAAAATTAGAAGGTTTAGAAAGTAGTTTACAAAACTTATGTGAATTTTTAGGCATCAATTGTTTGGACCAATATCCAATAATAAAGGAAAATATATATTCGATCTATAGTAAATATGAGATTAGGTTTAGAGTACCTCCTAAAGTACAGGAACCGTAACAACAAGACGAAAACTCGCATTCATTCTTGAATATTTTCGGGTTAAAGAAGAAGAAGAAGACAACTCAAACAGAAGCTATGAGTGAATCTTCGTCAACAAATGGCAGTGGCAGCAGCGGCGGCAGCTTCAACGAGCTTATGGCGTACCTCAGTGAAGGCTTAGTAGTCGATGGTACGGCAGAATCGTTTGACTTAGTTCAATGGTGGAGGGCACAGGCATTAACTTGGCCAATCCTAACTCGATTGGCAATGGATATATTTTCGATCCCAGACTCCACTATTTAATCAGAACAAGCCTTCAGTACGACAGGAAGAATACTTGAGGAACGGCAGAATGTATTGCAAAGGGATATTGTTGAAGCCTTGGTTTGCATTAAGGATTGGGATCGGGCCGATCAACGTCTACAGGATACAATTTCGCCGGCAAGCCAAGAATGGATCGATGAATTTAATCGATTAACATTTAATTTTGAAGACGATTCTTCAGCTTCAAATTAAATTGTAAATTTGTAATTTGTAAATATGTATTTACTTTTGACATTGTATTTGTAATTGTATAACTTTGTAAGTTTGTAAAATTTGTAATTCGTCACAAAATGATTGCACTCTTTTTTTCTTGCCAAGTTTTTATCCCAATTGGGGTTTTCTTGGTAAGGTTTTTAACAAGGCAATCATGAATTACGAATTTAATATACATCATTAATATACATAATTAATTTATTCAATTGTGTTAATAATGTCTGTTGAATGTTGATTTTGATTTTTATATAATTTTAACACAAACTAACTTAATAATTATAAAAATTAATAATTATTAAAAAAATTCGGGCTATTCGGGCGGGCTCGGATTGCCCGGCCGGGTTCGGGCAGCCAAATATAAGCCCGCGGCCCGTTCAAGGGCATTTTTGGGCTCAGGCGGGTCGGGCTTGGGCTCGGGTAAAAATTCTGTATTTTTGGACGGTCGCGGGCGGCCCGTCCAAAGTTTCAGCACTAATGATACCCAACTGAGTGAGTTGAGAGAATTTGAGTCAAGGTGAAAATTGTTAGATAAGTGCCTCAAATTAGTTTGAAGAAAGTTACTATTTTGCATTTATTGGGTAAGTTACCATTTCTGTTTTTGGGTAAGGGTTATATTTATGGCTCATTAGTCGTCTATAAATAAGTGTTTTGTAGAAGACTTTATGTGTGCTCAGAGAAAAGTGTAGAAAAAGAATGCCTCAATTTGAGAGAGAGCAAGAGAGAGAGAAGGAGAGAGAAAAGTGAGAAGAGAGAGAGGCAAAGGGTGTAAAGGGTTTTGTGTGTAGAGAGAAAATGAGAAAGTGTATTGAGGGCCCGTTTAGTTCGATAATTCGAGTTTTTAATTCGAGTTGAGATGTGATTTTATGTGAGTTTTTTACTATATCAAAAAAGTTAGATGTTATTGTTTCTGATAGCTTTTACTATAGCAAAACTCGAATTCTAAACTCGAATTGGTAAAATGAACCGTTAGTGTAATTCTCTGTTAATGAATTTTTTTCTCTCCCGTTGACATATGAAATTTTTTCGAACCATTTAAAATCTTTGTCTTCTCTATTTTTTTATTATTATTTTTGTTTCAATTTATTTTTTTGCTGCGTGAGTGTAGTTTGCCAAACAATTCTTATCACACAAAAAACTCTTGATGCAACTTCAATCCAAATTACACTGGTCCTGCTTTTAGGATTTCTCATTAAGAGAATTTCATTTCTTTTATGAAGGGTAGTTGTATCTTTGTACAAACAATTTCTCTTTAACTCTAATGTCCATGGGGGATTACGCTGTTATGTAATAAGAAAAACATGAGTGGATTTGACTGATTACAAAAAATACATAAAATAATCTTAGATCTTTTATCTCTTAAAAGAAAGGTGCATTATAAATTCTTGCGTGTAGATTGAACACACGAGGGATTTTTGTCATTATTCCGTACTACACCTCTTTAATTATTTATGGGTAGGCTGCTACGAGAAATTTAATTATTGCAAACAAACGAAAATAATAAAAAGTAAATAAAGCATTTTTTTTTAGAACAAAAAAATTTTCTTTTAAAGTATATAAAGCATTTTTTTTTTCAGAAAAAGCATTTTCTTTTTTCTTTTTTTTTTTCCAAACTTTGATATGGCCACATGATATTTGCAGCCTTGCAGGATGGTCTCTATTTAACACAACAATATTTTTTCAGATTACGTAATAGATTATGATGTTGGAAGGAGGAATAAGTTTGTCAATATTATTGTTATCAAGACCGATGACGATGGCTGTCATGGGAAGAGACCAAGAATTACATTTGGTTACGAAAGAGGTGGAAATATAGAAAATCAATCAATCAATTAAATAAGAAAAATGGGAATAACTGATTCAATGAACCAAACTTGAGTGGCACAAAGAAAGTGTAGACGCCCACGAAAAAGTTAGCAAATGATGATGATATGGTAAGAGTGTTCTATGTGGAATGCACAACTACAAGCCCAGGAAAAAGTTCGCAACTGATGATGATATGATAAAGTGTTTCTATGTGGAATATTCCTCGTCAAAACATCGAGTCATTGATTTGAACCAAGTCCGTCGTAAAAGTAGTTGCCAAACGCTGGTTCATTTCAACTTTTTAGTTCAGACCACCTGAACTGATTTTTCCCAAACAGGCTCTCAGCTGTGAAGCATCATATCGAGGGACATGTATTTGCAAGTTATTTAAGCATAAATACTTATTTTGGGTACAATCTGTAATTATTGATTTTCTAGATTAAGATAGAAATCATTCACCAATACAAGATAGATGTCTTAGCAGCTTGCTTTGCTAGATTAAGATTTAAGACAACTTTAAAAACAATTTTCCAATAAATTAAAGAATGTAAATGTAATATATAATTACACTGAAATTGATCCATTTAACCTGATATTTTTGTAATTTAATTTCGTGGAGTGAAACTATACAAACCCAATTACCCCCATCAAACAATCAAAGATTGCTTCAACAACTTTAATAGAAATGCTCAAGCAATATACTACTGGGACCAAAACATTGACACAAAGATTGCATATCTTCTTGAAATCAGTCACATTGTGAATAATTTGTAGCTCCATACCTGTTCGAATTCAACAACCAACTTCAGAAGAAATTGTCTCTGAGAAATCGATCACGAGTGCTTGTCTCGAATAGATTCAAAGTCCTAGAGGCAATCCGTAATTCTGGTACGATCTGATCCGTCCGTCCCAGCCTGCCGTTACAATGACCAAACCCCATGTTTGAGGACAACCAACCCTGCTCTGGCAAAATGACTTCAGAAACTTGTGTTGTAATTTACATTTTGCAGATGACACGGCCAATGAGTTTGAACAAGGAAGCTTCTCCTCTGGCCAGGTGGCGGATCCCTTGGAGGCAGACTCAGAGAAAATTCCATTGCTCAGTGACAAGTGATTGGCTGATGAGAAACGCGATTGCTTTGACCCTCTAAGTGAGGCAACAGAAAGATCAGAAGATGTAAATTCTCCTGATGTACTCGGCAGAAAATAGCTCCTGCATGTTCTACTGGACCAAGGAATAGCGACTGAACTGCTGTTTGAGAAGAAATGCTCACAAGCCCAGTGGTTCTTAGGCTGAGCCGTGGGCCCTTCCTCACTCCTATGGTTCCAGATGTAGACGTTAGAGTCCTCACTTGCAGAAACAATGTGCGCTCCGTCGTTAGTGAAGGTTGCTGATATCTGACTTCCTGCATTACGGAACCCTGAAGATGGAGAATAAATAAATTAGAAAAAGAAAACATATTAGGATTTGCATAGTGGCCACGATTCACGCATTAACCAGATGCAAAGAACCACCAACCTCGGTATTTTCCAATCACATCAACCCCATGAATAATCCGAATTTGCGAATCAGCAGAGGTAACCATTAATTTTCTAGGATCACTTGGAGAAAACTGTTGAGAAGGACAAGATAATACAATTTTAGTGCATGAAATGAAGCAAACTAAAAGAAAGAGAGTGATAGGATTGACAGAAGAAGGCACTTCGCTCACCTGAAAGCCGGTTATCCGCTTGTGTGGTGACTTCTTCTTGCCCTGCAAGGATATTTGAGCATAAAGTTGCAGACGATTATCTGATAAATTCAACCACAGCAGTTAGTATTCACCATAGCAGTTAAACTTCATGTCCAGCAAATAAATTATCATATGTGCATATGTTTTGGGACCCGAGATTCACAGTGAATCATCTGATTTCCAAGATATATAGATTCAAAATTATCTTTTCCTAGGACATCAATAAAATTACTGAAAGCCCAGTTATTCAATTTTGTTATTCCCACATAAACATAGTGAACAAAGGTTCTTCCAAACAAAGGGGAAAGGCAAGAAACTTGAAGCAATAAGCCAATAATCTCATAGTTTCAATTTAAACCTATAAATTATCTTCTCAAGCTTTTTACACTCTTCTCCTGCAAGCAACGCTGATTAAAGGACAAAATTTATTTTTTTCTTTAAACAACAACAACAACAACAAAAAAGCCAATTCGCCCAATTTGATCTTCAAAGGCTAGAACTTGTAATATAGATCCCAAAAATGCCAGGCCACAATCCACTTTGACCCTCATAACAGCTAAAAAATTATCTATAAATAGTTTCGGCAGACACTCAGACATGCCAATTTCCACTTGCAGATATTCCATGAAACCCTACAACTTAAGGTTGCAAAGAAAACTAAAGATTTTTGGACATACCTGATAAATCAAAAAAGTGGCAATCACCATTCATGGAGCCAACTATTCCTCCCTGCACAGATAAGACATTCAGTTAAGACCCTTAACGCTAGAATGGCATTTCAATTTTCAAGTAAGTAACCCGGTGATAAATCTCTAACCTTTCCATCAGGATGATGACAGACGGCTGTTACTATTTCTGTTACATCAGTCCAGTCAACAACTTGACAGGCAGGAATTTCCCAAATGCGCACTTTTCCATCTATAGAGCCACTGATGAAGTAATCATCATTGACGGGATTGAACTGAATACTCGTAACTAGATCAAAGAAAAATCATATAGAGAGCGGTTATAAAGGAAAGAAATCAAAAGGGGCTTACATATTGGTTATCATAAACAAATACAAGTCCAATTCACTATAGAGTATGAAAAGAGCAAACAGGAAGCAAAGCGTGTACCATAGCTAGTATGTGAAAAAACGTTTAGGCAACGGTCGCATCCAACTCGCCACAATCGAACAGTCTTGTCAACAGATGATGATAGCAGATGCTGCAGAAAGCGAGATCATTACTAAAACTCTATTTGAAAGCAAGAGAGAGAGCAGGAAATAATTGATCAATCAAAACCAATCACTAACCTCATTTTTCGACCATGAGAGATCCAAGACCTCACCACAATGCCCACGGAACTCATGAATAGGTTTCTCCAATATCCGGAAAACTTTTTGAGGGAATATGACGCAAGTTTTTCCTGTAGCCTTCAATTTACCCTTTTTTTCTGTATCGACATTACAAGGGACAACTTCAGAAAACTTATTAATCTTGAAGTACGCATATGAAGGATCAGTATCAAGAATGTCAAATTCAGCTGATCTATCTGACTCCATCACCTGCCATATACGAACAACTCCATCTTCACCAGCGCTTGCGAGGTATTGACCATCTGGACTGAATTTCATTGTTAAAATTGACCCCTCATGGGCCGGTATATTTTGTAACATATAAAGGGCTGATAATTCTTTGGACCGCTTCCTGTATGATCTAACCTTAACTGCCTGAGCCCCAGGTGCAACATACGGGTAAGCACCATAGCAATTGATGCTACCAACTTCCAATTGTCTATCAACAATGCAAGCCGCAGCACCTATTCTCTTCAACCACCTTCTTTTCGCCTGCGTTCTCGCCACATCAGATATGAAAGCTTCTTCGACCCCTTTCTGCATCAAACGCTGAACTAAAGGAGACATACCAAGACTTCTATCAAATTCTTCAACTGTAAGCAAACGGCTCGAACCCACTTTACGAAGTCTCCTCGGCATCCCATCCTGTCCTAGTTCATCCACAACAAACTCCGTCCCATCATCCAAATTTCTGATCCTAAAACTGAAGCTCTCCTCCCGCGTCCCATCTACCAATTCCCTAGCATCATTTGACGAACACGACATGGAGAACTGACTTGACGACGGCACATTGTCAGTGCTTGATGATCCTAAAACTGCATCACTGCTTTTGGTGATTCTATCAGTCTCCACCTCGAAGCCATCACAAGACGTGATCCCGGGATGTTGTATCGTCATTTTCCTCTCGCTCAAACCCATCCATCTCAGAAATTTATCTCGCCGTTCATGAATACTCATTTGGTCACTAATCCAAACATCATATCCTCCACTACTACCAGGCAAAGAATCAATGACCTCATAACCACCATCAGCATCTTCAGGGCAATCAGAACTTGAATCAGACACAGAAGAAATGTCCTCGCGAGTGTCGAAGAATCGATCCACTTCCTCACTCATGCCTTTCATTTTTGTCTAAATCATCAAAACCCCCAAAACCACAATCCCAAGTACTCCATATTTCTAAAACAGGCAGAATAAAATACCTTCCAAGGACTAGCCTGAATAACATCAAAACCCCACGAGAAAAGCACACAAAAACATAATCAGAAATTCATCGCCACAATCATATCTCCAAACTTCAGACCCAAAAGTATAGATCCCAATCAAAAACAAGCTAAAACTGATATCACAAAAAACTAAAAAATAAAAATCTTAACTTAAGACAACTCCAGATACATAGATTAAAAATAAAAATAAAAAAATAAAAAAGGCAAAGCAAGCATAACCAAGCATTGGAGAAACCACATTTTCACATGCAAGATACAGATCAAAATAATTGGAAAAATAGAAACAATAGCAGCAAATTTAGATGAACTACAATAATAGCTAAAAATAAGTGAACATAAAAAATGGTAAAAACGATTTGGGCACCTGGGATTTCTTCGAAAGTCCGTCAAAACCAAACCATGATCGTGATGATCATCCTTCCATGGCCACTTTTCTAGCTCCAACCAAGCTTCGCTCTCTCTAGGACTAGGAGAGTGCGTAGCTAAGGTCTTAACACTAAGCAGGCTTTAAAAATAAAAATAAATAAATAAATAACAAAAAAAATGGATAAAACCCACAAAGGAAAAATAAAAACAAAACAAAATAAAGGGGAAATTAGGAAATCTCGAGGACAGTGAAAACGGGGTGGCGCGATAACCAAGATTTTAAGACCGTGTTTGTCTGCGCCAACCAGCTGTTCAGCCTTTTGGGGCTATTGATTTACCTTTTCACCCTCTCTTTTGTGCTGTGATCACGGTTTTGACCCTGATTAGCAATGAAAAATGGTGATCGTCGTGTCTTTTATGAGGGGGAAAATGATGCATTTATTTGCCACAAAGGTGCACATGCTTTGTTAATTGTTATTTTAATGGTTAATATATCATGCACGTGTAGTTTGCTTTATATTTAACTATTCGTTAGGCTTTTTAGTGGGGTGGGGCTCGGAGAAGATATTGGAGTATATGCAAATCTAAAGTAAACAAAAAAAGAATATTTCATCAACAGTGAAAAAAAAAATCTAAGAAAATATATGTATAAAGGTCAAGTTGTTAATAATGAAAATGTTGTTGTTTACATGATTATCCAATTACTTGGATAATATGTGTGTATATATATATATATATTATAACGTATTATTTGGTTGGGGAATTCATACTCCGATTTGAATTATGATTTATGATTCGTTACAGTGTTTTCTCTCATTAAAAATACACATAAATCAAAAATTACTCTAATCTTATAATTCTAATCCATGAACCAAATGTCTTCTTCTCAATATTCATCTTCATCAACAAAGAAAATATGTACTATTGTAAGTATAGGGATAGTTACTATGAGAGAAGGAAAAATTGGTTGCATTTATGTCAAAAGTTCAAAATATGCATTATATAAATTAAAGTGCAAAACACCCAAGAAAGTATATGACATTTCATATAAAAGAGCAATGCATGTAGATATATTAGTTACATATATGTCCCTAAGCATGAGATATGATATTGTCGTGTTAAAAAAGAGAATGCCACCCAAAAGGAAGAAAAGGGAAAATAAACAAATAAAGCTATGAGGCTGAATTCTAATAGTAGCTTTTGGTTAGTCAATGTTGGCTTTGTTTATATAATGCAAGCTTCTTGTTAAATTCAAGTACTTTTACTGCCCATCTATCTCTGTTCACATGATGGAGAGACACAGCGATATTGCATGGGTCATGAATTGGTAGCGGGGATTAATATTCTGTTTAGTGAAATAACCTTCAAGATTGCACAATTTATATATATTTTTTAATATATATGCCTATACATATATATTTATATTTATGTATACATGAGTTTTTAATGTGGAGTTTCTATCATGGTTACTAATTAAATATAGAAATTTAATGATGTGGTGTGATAAAAATCTAATCTCATTAATTAATATCAATCTTTTTGATCAACTATTCAATTAATTACAACCTTTAAATTAATATATTACGGTTTAAAAAATAATACTTATTAATGGGTAAATATTAAAATAATAATGGTATGGGTTTCGACCAATATGGATGAACAAAAGTAGAGTGTTGCTTTTTTTAGTCTATTTTATGTAGCTGCATGTTTGGACCTTCCCACTAGTCTTACCTCAAGAAGCACGCGGTTGCCTATTTAGAAGTTGTCAAACCCCATTCAATTCTAATTCCTTGGGGGAAAGAAAAGAGAACAAAAAATAAATGATAATAAAACTTGGCCACTTAACATGTTCGTTTGGATGTTGTTTTCATATGACCGTAACTCAATTTAAATCTTAAAAGCGATGGATGATGTTACGTCATGATTGTAGAAACCAACTAGATCTACAAGTGTTTCCTCAGATATTGAATATAAAAATTTAAAAAACGTAGAAATTTCGACAAGTAAAATACCTAGCAACACTATTTTCTTTCTTTCTGAAAAAAAAAAAATGGGACATCTGAATATCTTATCAATATTGACCGGAGAATTATTAGTTGTCTACAAACCAAATGACTCGTCTAAGACAATCGGTAGTTTCACACAATTAATAATAAACAATGTAAGCTTGATAATGTAACGGGTAAAATAAATACGAATTTCATGTCGTTTGAATATAATGATAAACACTAACTTATTAATAATAAACAATATTAGATTGATCGATTTTAAACGTTACCCGCATGTAAAAAGTTAAATGAACACAAATTTCATATCGTTTAATTATGATGATAAACACCAACTAATATAAGTATATTGGATTACTCCATTTAACAGATTCATCTTACCCAAAATCTAATTTTTATAAGAGTATTAGAGCTAATAAGGTTCAATGAGTGGCTCACCCAAACCTATCTAATACACTCTTGGTGACTCTAAAGAGAAAGTGAAATGGTTTAAAATAAACTCGAACCTCATAGCATTTAAATATAATAATAAGCACCAATTTATAAAGATAATTGGTCATCTTTTTTTAGCAAGTGGACCTTTTAATTACTATTAAAGGAGAAGAAATTTAGGGCTTGTTCTTTTGAGTGAAAAACTCAAAAAAATGTAACTCGAGTTACAACTTTATTTGAGTTCATGTTCTTTTAAGTTTAAACTCGAGTTTAAACTCGAGTTCAAACTCGAGTTTATGACTAAAACTCGAGTTCAAGTTTCCCCTTTAACTTGAGTTTAGAAACTCGAACTCAAATTAATGAACAGTATTTTTTTTATTCTTAAAAATGTTATAACTTTTTCGTTTTAATTATGATTAAGATGATTTTTTTTCTATGCATTGACAACGAAAAGACGAATAAAACCGATCCCATATACCATATTAAAATTTTTCATCAGCATTGAGTTTTTATTTAAATACTATCTAAATACAAATTCAAGTTTTGACTCACTCAAACACAAACTCAAAAAGATTATTATCTCAAATCATAACTCAAATGTACACAACCAAACACAAACTCAAGTTGTAACTCAAATTCAACTCAAAAATTATACCCAAGTTAAACTCTAAAAGAACAAGTCTTTAATTACTTGTTATTTTTTGTTTACTTCAAGCCTACTTGTGTGTGCCGCCCGAAAGCAAACACCTACATAGGTTATATAGCCAACCCTCTAACCCCAATGGCGCATGATCATTTGTGACTAATTAATGCAACAACAAAACGTGCTTTTTTTTTTAATCTAAAATTAAAACTAATCCTTTTAGTGATCAAAGAGCTAGTTTTGCGCTTGCGTAAACATAATTATGCTTTATCCCAAGCAACAACTAGAGCACATATTCCTCCTTTTGGCTGAGTAATTGCCTGCTGCTTCTCCTAATATATTTCAGATCATTAGATACATGCGTTTTAAATATCATAAAACTCTCTGTAATTTCGACCGTTTAGGATTGTAAATTGTTAACTTCTCGTGTTTGATCACCTCCGAACACCTAAAAGACCAATATGCCAAATAGTGAAACAAAATTTCACTCTTCTAGCTAGCTATGGAGTGAGGGATCTGTAAATTAATTGCCTATTTTCATTTTTTACATTTCTCCGATTATTACCCATAACTCTATAAACCATATACATACATATATTAATATGTATATATATACAAATATATATGTGGATAAATTTTTAACAGTTACATTTTTATTAATAATTATCATCAAATTTTTATATTTAATGATGTAGTGAGATAAGAATTCAATTTTATAGATATATGTATGTATGTAACCACTTAAAAAAGGAGGAGGGAGACAAGGACTGTGATTAATAAAATTTATTTTTTTGCTTGAATTACTAGAAAATTATTTGGACCAACCAAAATGAATATAATTATTTGGTGGGCCAAAAATATATGGGGAAGTTAAGAAAGGTTCCAAAATACAATGTCATTCATGTCTTAATAGATACTGATATAAGCCAATTTGTTGGTGTCATTTCAATACCTCTCCAGCCTACCCTGTTTGAAAATGGAATTATTGAGCCTCCAACGAAATTTTTTTTTTTTTTCCTTTTATGATTTATTGTGGGAAAATAGTGGTTAGAGTAGGTAATATTAATGTTTCATATGCATTATAGCCATAGCTAAGTTTATGATATGATATATTGTATGTATAATTATAATATATATACTAATCATTAGACCGACAAAACAAGACGTAATATGGGACATGGAAACAAACAACAAGCAAAATTTGACAAAAAAGTCAAATAATATACACATAGGTTTTTACACTAATAATATTAGAAGTTCTTGTTCTTTGAGTATCGTGTTTTGCTCATAAAACTTCGACAATAATGGACCTTGATAATTCTTTTACAGTTTTATGACTATTAAAAAAATGGATCTTGAACATGCTCATGATGTTGCATATATAAAAGTAACGTGGACCCTCGAATGTGTGCACAATCTTATTTGCGAATGGCTACTCAGATTTCTTCTTTAGCGCAAGAATCATGTCGACCACTAATTTTAATGTTGTTTTATCCAATTCTTACAATAAAGAATTTTCTTTTATTTTCTTTTTTATTTTGGAATATATAATATTCTTGTTCAAAAGATTATTTCCTCTTCAATAAGGTTCACGCTCAAAAGACGAAACTTTAGTTGGGATAAAGTACGGGAGTTTCAATCTTTCTTTTACAAAATATCATATGCCATTAAGGCGACAATTGATCATATCCAGAAACTGTACGATTCACTGAAGTGACATGTTTAAATGTTTCCTTGATTCATAGCACACTACCACGTCTAATTTACATGGCAATATTCGATGAACGAAGAGGAAGTATGACTAAACAGAAGCAAAGGAATAGTTTTGTATCAATAAACATTCTAGTTTTAGGCCGGCACTTGAAAAACATAGATCGTGAGAGGCAGAAACGGTTGTGCATTGCTAGTTAGGGCTACACGGTCTTCATCCGACCTAAGTTTACGGGTGGCAATCGTGCCACCTGCGGATGAGAAGGGCTGCTGGATAGGAGCTAAACAATGGCGGAGCCACTTGAAGATGAGCGGGGACAGACGCCCTCA